GCTGACTTGCCCCGCCCCGCAGCTCTTCGACCACATCGTGGACTGTATAGTGGACTTCCAGCAGAAGCAGGGCCTAAGCGGGCAGAGCTTCCCCTTAGGTTTTACCTTCTCCTTCCCGTGCAGGCAGCTTGGCCTGGACCAGGTGAGAAAGGGAGGGAAGTCATCCCCAAGGGCTTTCCACGCACATACCCTTCATGGAGTGAGCAGGAGGCTGGGCAGCGGCTTCCAGTGCCCTGGGCTTGGCGGAGGGGCAGACGAAGGCACCACTGGGCCAAGCCAACACTCAGCCTCCATTTCTCCAGGCGTGATGTGCCTGGGTGGATGGGTGTGGTGATGTGGCCTGGAATCCAGGACCACGAAGAGGCCTGGGGTGAAGAAGGACACGGGCACCTCTGGGGGCTGCCAGTGGGCAGGGGAGTGGAGCCGGGGTTAGGTCTGGGCGTTTGGGAGCAGTGTAGGCCCAGATCCCGACTGCCCGGCAGACACGCTGACTGTATGTCATCTACAGCACCAGTGTTCTGGCTTAGCGTCCTGTGGGGAACAACGTTTGTTCCAGTTTCTCAAAGGGGCTTGCGCTTGCATGGGTTCTTTTGCCCTCTCTCCCCTTGCCAGTGTCCCCTTCTCAGTGCCTGGCTCAGGGCTGGTTACCTGACTGGGATGGCAGAGCAGCAGGCACTCAGCGCACACCTCTGCGTGTCCTTCAACAAGAACGTTAGGCTTTTCATGCACACACCTGATGGCTGTCATGGAGATGGCTCTTCCTGGACATCTGATCCACGCTCCCAAGAGTCCCTTCCTTAACACCCCCATCTTCTGCCAAAAAAATCCCCATGATAAAGAGCCCCCTGCTCCTGCAGGCATCCACTGCGTCTTCCATGCTCGTGTCACAGAAAAGCTTTGCTTCCGCTACTTCAACCAGCCCTTATGTGGCTGTCGCCCTCTGCTCCCCCTCTGAGTTCTCAGACACGTGCCTCTGTACTTGGCCTTGCTCTAGCCCGCACAGTCGGCAGAGTCTCTCTGCTGGTCCTCTTTGCTCCAGGCTAAGCAGCTGGTGTCTTTTGATTATTCCTTGTAAGGTGTGAGAAGCAGGTGGGACTCAGGATGCAAAATCAGGCTTGCAAGAAACACGGTCCTGTTAATTTCCAATTGCTGCACTTAATTTCTGTGTTGAGCCTATATTCTTTGGAATGGTAAAAACCAATTTGGGGACCCCATTTCCCAGATAGGGACCCCTGTCAGCTGCACAGTGAGCGTCCTTTGCTGTAAAGAACGTGCAGTCTGGACTCTGCCACTTCCTCTCTTGGGTCTTGACATGTCCCTCGGGAAGGAGGGAAGAGGCCTCATCTGTTCTCAGATCACCTACTCCCTTGTGTCCTCCCCTCCCCGCAAGGGTGTGCTAGAGTGAAGAGCGTAAGATACCAGGGAGTCTTTGTCCTGTCTGCTGAACAAGAAAGCTTTGCTAATCCTCTTGTTCTGTCTCCCCCAAACTGGCCTCTCTCTCATTCCCTCTCTCACTCTCTCTGGTTTCTGTTTTTGAGACAATAAGCATATAACGCCCTAGCTGTGTTTACATGGGAAAAGGAATAAAGGGAAATATTACTGGGGAAAATAATGGTTAGTATTTCTAAAATCTCTTGCCCCAAAGATTGTGGACCTGCTCTTTATACTCCTACCTGGGGCGGAACAGTCATTTTCTCCTAAATGGAATAACCCACCTCAGAGGAAGCACACTAAAATGAGTACAGCCAAGCCCCTCTCACTAAGTTCACAATTTAAGGCCAGTTTCTCACAATGAAGGTGTATCTATCTTGTTCCTTCCCATCTTGCCAGCTTTTCTATTCGTCCTTCACTAATATCCAGAATACACGCCTGAGTCTCCCATTGACACAGCTCTGTCCCACCTCTTAGAATTCCTCCTCTCAAGCGACTCCTGCTATTTCTTTCTGGAAGAGCAGGATCTGCTGTCATGTGGCCCTCAGCCTTCTCTGTCCTCTCCTTTCTCACACACAGTACCCATTTTACCAGCTCTGTTCCTTCCTAACTCCTATAAAAGGCAAATCCTTCTGGACAGTCATCTTAAAATGGCCAGACCCTCAGACCATCTGAGCATTCTGGCACTACAAGACATAGGTCAGACAGTTATTAATAGGTTTCTTCACACTGGGATGCTCCTGGGGAGTTGGGAGGGGACAGAGAGCAAGGCCCTCAACTTTATGGCAGAGTGGGCCCAGAATCCTGCTTGGGGAGGAGGAATGTCGTATGCTTCTGATGGGTTGCAGGCTTTGGGGAGGCCAAGTGAGATTCCAAGGGGCCTTCCTGTCTCCATCCCACACCAGGGCATCCTCCTGAACTGGACGAAAGGTTTCAACGCATCAGACTGCGAGGGCCAGGATGTTGTGCATCTGCTGCGGGAAGCCATCGGGCGCAGACAGGCAAGGGCTCTGCCTCCAGTGGTGTTTTGGGGCTGCAACAGGCTTTGAGGGGAGCAAAGGGTCTCCTGCTTCCTGAGAGGGGGGCCCTTCGCTGTAGAGACCTCTGGGTCCAGCAACGGTTGCCGTGACGACCATGTTGCCCAGCAACTAGCAGCATCCTTTTGTGTGCAGGCAATGGAGCTGAATGTGGTTGCCATTGTCAATGACACGGTGGGGACCATGATGTCCTGTGGCTACGAGGACCCCCGTTGCGAGGTCGGCCTCATTGTCGGTGAGGAGGGCCTGGCCTATTGTGCCTCTATTTCCTGATGCTAGTTCACTGCCTCTTATTGCTTCCTCAGTTTGGACATTCCTCTGGCCGTGGGGATGTGGGATCATTCCCATCTGACCCAGCGGGGCCCTGGAACACTCTATTGGGCTAGGAGTCTGGAGCTCGGGTGTCTAGCCCAGCTCAGCTGCTGACTCGCAGTCATTTAAGCTCTCTGAACCTCAGTTTGCCTTTCTGTTAAATGAATCTGAGCTTTGGCATTGTACAGATTTGGGAGGAAATACTGGCCCTGCCACTTCAACCTGTATGACCTTGGGCAGGTTGCCAGAGCCTCGGTTTCTTCATCTCTAAGATGGAGATAATATTAATGCCTGTCTTGAGGGGTCTCGAAGATGAAAAGAGGGGGGCGAAGTGTGGCACAGTGGTGGAGCTGGGTAGGGGCTGGGGGTTGACAGAGAATGAGCTGTGAGAGTCCTTCAGGTCATCCGAGATTCTAAGTATTAAGCACCTATCCTGTGGCCAGCTGGGGCTGGATGAAGGGACAGGAAGACATAAAGAAGCGGGGAAACATCTGCCTTCTCAGAACTGACTGTTTAGCAGGGGTTGAGCCCAGAATAGCATGTGACAATCAGAGAGGGGTGAATCTAACTCTCTGCACTAGGGCGGCAAGGCCAAACTCAGAAAGAAAGGGGTCCCAATATGAGTGGGACTTGCAAAGAAAGCCTTGAAAGAAGGGATCTGGCTAGGCGGGGGAGGAGGGTGCCTGCAGGTCCTTGGCATCAGTCGCCTAGAGCATGAGGTACGTAGTAGCCTCCCATGGGACCGGGAGCTTCTTGAACGTAGAGTCTGGCATGGACAGGTGTGCCCAGATTGCTGTGGGAATAAAGCCCTGGGTGGAGGAATTCCAGGTGGGGCCGACAAGGAGACCACCTGCCTAGAGATGACTATGTTGGAGAGAAGAGGATGCTTTTGCACTGGGTATGTCCTCTGCCTGGAATGCTTTTCCTTTCTGTACTTCTTGGCTTCAAGGCCAAATCCAAATGTCATTTCCTCTCTGTATCTTTTCCTGATCCTCTAGGCAGGAAGACTTGTGGTGCTCTTGCACTTCTCTTTGGTCACATATAGGCAGTATTGGACCTGTTGGGTCAGACAAGAATGATCCTGCATGGCCTTACCTCTGGCCACTCTGGGGCCCCTTGAGTCTGACCTCTGTCTGTGTCCCCAGCTCTTGGCCCAGCATCCGCGAGTTTAACTAAAGACCTGAAGGCCAGTCCAGGTTGCTTAGGCCTCTCGCCTGCTGACAGTGGGGGCTGTCACACATCTCTCAGGGGAATGACATGACTGATGGCATTTTTAGGTGTATGCTGAGGTAACATGGGAGATGCAATGATGGTGGTAGTGTTAGGGAGTATAGAGGAGGCCCGGAGGGCTTGGTGCTGGCAGTGTCTGCAAAAAAAAAAAAAGTCAGGAAGGAAGGAAGACTAGGACCCGGGGCAGGGCACGAGCATGAGGGAGATGGAGAAGCAGGAAGTGAGACCAAATTTTGCCATCTCAGAGTGAGGAGGGCTCAGAGGTGTCTTGTGTGTACCAGTAAATGGCTCCCACCCCATCTGGCCTCCCTGCAGGAACTGGCACCAATGCCTGCTACATGGAAGAGCTTCGGAACGTGGCGAGTGTGGCTGGGGACTCGGGCCACATGTGCATCAACATGGAGTGGGGTGCCTTTGGGGATGATGGCTCTCTCGGCATGCTCAGCACTTGCTTCGATGCAAGTGTGGACCAGGCGTCCATCAATCCTGGCAAACAGAGGTGTGGGCTGAGCCGGGCAGGGGTGGCTGGTGGCTGGTGGTGGCTTCTGCCGGAGATAGTAGCTGGTGGGGTCCCTGCCTTGTGTGCACACACACTTTCATGCAGGTTTGAGAAGATGATCAGTGGCATGTACCTGGGGGAGATCGTCCGACACATCCTCTTGCATTTGACCAGCCTTGGAGTTCTCTTCCGGGGTCAGCAGACTCAGCGCCTTCAGACCAGGGACATTTTCAAGACCAAGTTTCTCTCTGAGATTGAAAGGTGCTGGGACCTGCATTATCTCTCCCTCCACTCAAACATGTCTATCTGTCCACTTTGGGTGGAATGCTTGTTGGAGGGAGGTCTACCCTGGAGGATGGAGAAGTCACAAGAGAGAAGTAGCTAATGCAGCCTCTCTGTGTGTTATTCCTTCCTGTCCCCAGTGACAGCCTGGCCCTGAGGCAGGTCCGAGCCATCCTGGAGGATCTGGGGCTGCCTCTGACCACAGATGACGCTCTGATGGTCCTGGAGGTGTGCCAGGCTGTGTCCCAGCGGGCCGCTCAGCTCTGTGGGGCAGGTGTGGCTGCTGTGGTGGAGAAGATCCGTGAGAACCGGGGCCTAGAAGAGCTGACCATATCTGTGGGAGTGGATGGGACCCTCTACAAGCTGCACCCCCAGTGAGTCTGTGTTCCGGGCTGGGCGGGGAGACATGGCCAGGTAGGACCTGGCTGTCCTGGGCTCACCTCAGCCCCTTCCCCTCACAGCTTCTCCAGATTGGTTGCGGCCACTGTGCGAGAGCTGGCCCCTCGCTGTACGGTCACCTTCCTGCAGTCAGAAGATGGGTCGGGCAAAGGTGCAGCCCTGGTTACTGCTGTTGCCTGCCGCCTGGCCCAACTGACCCATGTCTGAAGAAGTCCCCAGGAACCAGCTGTGCTGGACCAGGGCCCAGGCCCTACCTGTCCCCCAGCTAGGCCCAGCCACCCAGGACTCCCAGAACAGCTCGTGTGTGACCCCTCTGTGGCCACCGGCCTCCAGCTCTGGCTTCCCGAGATAAGTAGCACTCAGGTTAGCAATATATATATATAATTTATTTACATTCACGTCCGCTAAAATCCCTACGCGCCCCGGCGGCCGGGCAAGGCTGTGTACATAAGGCCAAGTGTAAGTGCATGAATGCACTTAAGACAGAGTCAGGGCACGAGCTTCACACGACAGGCCCCAGGAGCGGGCACACCACGGCACGCACACTCGCCATTGTCCAGCCCGGGACTCCCATTGCATATTCACATGCCCCATCGGGCAGGACTCCTCGAGGCTGGGGGCGGGGGGAGGAATAGGGAGGAGCTGTTGGGTGTCCCTGGGTGGGTGGGAGAAGGGCAGCATGTGATAGGCTGATTTGGACTGACACTGGGTGTGAGAGACGTGAGCGGCCTCTGGGTGTACAGCATGAGATATGTGTGCAGGGGATTTGTGTGGGATGACACACGAGACATGCGTGGGCACGTGCCCGTGTGGGGGTCGTGTGCCTGAATCCAGGGGCTGCCCCCCGTCTGGCTGTGGCCCTCAGTCCCATAGGTTTGGAGCCAGGCCCTTCAGACGTGCCCCTACCCAGCAGGCACAGAAATGTTTGCATAAGGTCCAGCTCAGGTGGGAGCTCCGGGGCCACGTCCTGAGCCCAGCGTGTGCGCGCATGCCATGTGTGTGCGGCCCCTGGCCAGGGGCGGGAGGAGAGGTAGCACCACACACATATACACACACAGATGGGCTGGGCCCAGCCCGGATCCCGGCACTGTCCACTCTGGGCCCTGGGGGCAGGTGGCAGTGCCAGCCTGGTCAGGCAGGCCATGGAGGGGCAGGAGTGTAAGCAGGGTCTGAAGGGCCAGTGTGCAGGGACAGTGTCTGCCAGGAGGGGGCCTGTCCACGCAACTCCCTTAGGTGTTGGGGAGGGGCTCTGTCTGGCTTCTGCCTGTCCCTGGTGGGTCCCAAAGCTGGTGAGAGTGTAGGCGTTGGGGGCCTGGCTGGCCTCAGCATTCGGCCTCCGACACTGTGAAGAGGCCACCGTCTGGCTGGCCCAGTCCGGCCACTGCTGCAGCCAGCTGACTGAGGTTGCCGTTGGGGAAGTGCCTCGCCTCCCACAGGTTTAGGATCATGGCTGTGGGGCTGGGCTTGGAGGCAAAGAAGCTGAGATGGCTGTGGAGAGGAGTGAAGGGAGGGAGCCTGTCAGTGGCCCAGACTCACTCCAGGCTGCTGCCCCCCAGCCTACCTGAGGGCAGGGCCTCTCCTCTGCCAAGCACGGAGTAATACCTGGTTGCCGGTGAAGAGGGCACAGGCCCTACAGAGCATCCTGCCCACCCCACCCATCCTACCCTGCCAGGATGAACTGCAGGTGGCCTTTGAGCCCCTCCCCACCCATCTCCCACCCACCTGTCCAGGTGGAGTTTCTGGGCCAGAGTCCGCCAGTCAGCACCCCGGCTACAGGGCAGGTCCAGGCTGGTAATGATCTTCTGCCGAATGAGGAAGGGGATCTTGAAGGCACTGGGGCCCACTAGGGCTGGGACCCCCCCTTCACTCTCCAGAGCTAGCAGCTCAGTGAACCTCGTGTCCTGGGGGAAGGAGTGGAGATGGCTGTTAGAACTTCCCCTGGCCCAGGCCTGCTGCCGTCTCCTGCTGGGGGACCACCCAAACTACCCCAGGACGTGGTGCCGCGTTGGCGCTGGTGCTTCTGGGTGGGCACCCCCTCACTGAGGCTCCAAGGGGCCCAAGGCTCAGAGGTGCAGTGACCTACTCAAAGTCACACAGCCAGTGAGCAGTGGAGGTCACTAGCCTCATTCCCCTCCTCCCTCCCACCCACCTTCCCCAAGTCACCCTTGCTGAGCCTCTGCTGACCGCTCAGAACCCACTGTGCTCCTCCAGCCACCTGTGTCCTTGCACTTAGTCCCCACTGCCAGAAACGCCCTTCCCTGGTTGCTGCCTGTCTAATGCTTACTGATCCTTCAAGGCCTAGTACAAAGTCCCTCCTCGGGGAGGTACGGGGGCCCAGGCTGTTCCACCTCTCCCTCCTGCTGCTCCCACATCCTCCTCTGTCCCTTCCCCAAGTCCCACCACATCTGTCTGCATCTGTCTGTGTTTGCCCCTGCATCTCTCCCCAGAGATTTGGAGGAAGCTGTCAAACAGATTCTGGTTTTAGGAGGAGGTGGCCAGGTAGGCCTGGGGTGGGGGGTGGCGCACATTAGGAGGGTGCTGACACCTCTCCTGCCCACCTTGGTGATATTGAAGTTGATATTGAAGCTCTGCCCATCGCCTTCCACCTGCCACACCCACACCTTGCAGGCCAGGTCACTGGTGCTGGGGCTGACACGCTCCAAGGTAAAGGTGCAGTGCAGGTACTGCTGTGTGCCATTCCAGATGTGATAAAAGGGTATCTCCTGGGGGGGTGGCAGAGGGGCCATGTCAGGTGCGCCCAGCGCCAGGTGTGCCCAGCTCCAGGAACCTTGAGTGCCCTCACCTGGTAGCTGACAAGGAGCTTGCTCTTCCACAGGGAGCTGGGCACGTCATGGATGGACAGTCGCAGGTTGTGGTAACTGTCCTTCAAGTGCAGGACGCGGGGCTCCTGGATTAGCTGTCCTCCAAGCTGCTTCTCCAGCTGCACCACCTCCTGCAGTGCCCCAGGTGGTCAGCTGAGCCTGGGGGCTAGGAGGGTTCCCCATCGCCACCCCTCCCCAGGGCCAGCGGCACTCCACCCTCAGTGCCAGGCACGAGGCCTCCCTGTGGCAGGTGGGGGGCGGTACCTTGAGTGCATCGCGGGTGTCGTGCAGGCAGTACACTCGGATGTTGTACTCCAGAGAGGTGCAGGCCACGGGGGCAAACAGAAGCAGCTTGAGGCGTTTGGCAGCGGCCACGCTGAGGGCCTCTCCCACCAGGGCGAAGCGGCCCAGCTGCTCAGTGAAGATGTAGCAGGAGCCAGCCTCCAGCTGGCAGTAGTAGAGGTGGGAAGGCGACTCCTCGCCCAGGTGCAGTACGTCCTATGGGCAGGGCCCGATGCATCAGCTGATGACCAAGTGAAGCTCTGAGGGGTGGCCAGATACTGGGGACAGGAGTGTGGCGCAAGGGCCACGTGGGACGTGGGGTTGCGCTCAGAGCCCTGTGCTGGCTCCCTGGGGAGTCGTGGGGTGGGGGATGGGCAGCCTGCTTACCTCCCAGCTGCCCTCACAGGACTGCTTTTTGAGACGCAGGCTCCAGCTCTCGGGGCTGGGCTCCCCGCAGTGGTCCATGGTGAGGATGACAGGTCGGGTGAGCAAGACTCCGGGGGGCCCGCAGCTAACAATGGGACTCAGCAGGGTCTGACAGCCGGCTAGGGGCAACCTCAAGTGGGGAAATACAGGTGGGGAGAGAAAGTCGTCAGTGGGTTGTCCTGCACCTGGCAGGACAGGGCAGGGCAGCGGCATCCCGGCTGGGAAGCAGAGCTGGGCAGAGCTTACGGGCATCTTTTCCCTGGCCCTCCCTCAGCCCAGGCCAGACTAAGCCCGACAGTGGATGGGCAGGGGGCTTCCTGGTGACTGCAGGCAGGGGGCAGGACCCGCAGCCCCAGTAGCAGGGCCTGTGCCCACACCTCACATCCTCTGGCCTGTGCAGCGTGAGGTAGATCTCGTAGATCTTTCCACGGGGTATGGCATCTGGGGGGATGAGGAGGCTGATCCCTGTGACAGAGCGAGAGAAGAGCTGGGGCTTACAGAGTTGCAAAGACACAAAACACCCCCCTCCGCCAGCCTCTACGTGAGCCTCCCTTTGAGGACTGACTGGTGCTGTGCTGGCCTGGGGACAGAGGTGACACTGAGACTGTCAGGCTGTCCAACTACCTACACAGGCATGAAGCTGAATCACAGTGACCCCAAGAGAGGCCAAGGGAACTCAGGTGGAAAAAGCATGCCCTGTTAGTCTGGGCACAGAAAACGCTGGAACAAAAAGTGCCAGGTATGCTGCCCCTACCTTCCCCGCCTCCGGGGTAAAGTCCAGCTCCCCGGCCTGGCATTTAAGGCCTTTCACCTGTCCTCAACTACCTTTCCAGCAGCATCTCCAGCCCAGCTTGTGCTGCATAATCGCCATTCTGAGACCACTGCCCTGGACGCACCTCTACCTGGATGCCCCACCCTCCTGCTCTGCTCAAGTTTTCCCCACCTCCATCAGCCCTAGCCACCTACAAGGAAGGCTACTCTCAGCTACCATGCATGACTTTGCTCCTGACTTGGCAGTGACCCCCTGCAGGTGGGGCCGGGCCTTGCTCACTTTGGTAGCCCTCCCTGGTCTGGGGCCATCGCACACATGTCCTCGTGTCCAGCTGATACACCTCTGTCCCAGCATCTTGCAGGGGTGGCATCAGAAAGTGCTTGCTGAGGGAGCAGTGGTTCTAGGGAAGAGGCAGTGGGGCAGGACACGGGAGGACAGGGCTGGGGAGTTGCTCTAGTGATGGTGAGGTATGGTCCTGCCCCGCCTTCCTGTCCTTTGGGGATAGGGATCCCCTGCATTAGGAGGAGGGGACAAAATTTTATGACTTTCGCCAAGTCTAAAAGCACGTGCATGCTCTCCAGAATGGGCGACAGGGTGGGCCGGCTGAAGCTGAAGCCCAGGAGAGGGGAGCCATTGATACCGTATTTACAGCTACTGCTTCCTTCACTGGCCTGTGCTGCCTCCTGATACAGGCTGCCAGCGTTGGTGACAGTCCCAGAGATCTGCGCATGAGTGCTCTCTGTGGCGGAGGTATGCACACCCCCATTCCCATTCAGTGAATGCTCAAGTGCTCAGGAAAGGGAGAGAAAACCATGGGTCCTGTTCTTGTGAAGCACCCAGCCCAGTGGGGAGAAAGACAAGTAGGTGGCAGTAAAGGGTGATGGGTGCTGAGGCAAGGCAGGGAGAGCAGCAGCTCACCCACCCTACCCATTGTGCGCCTGTGCCTGCTCCTTCCTAAGAGCTTGGCATCTTAGGACCATCTCACCTCATCATCCTGGCAATCCTGGCAGCAGGGACATGAGGCACAGAGAAGGAGAGCTGCCAGGCCAAGACCCGGTGGATAGAGAGAGGGACTCATGTGTGCAGAGGGCAGCATGGTGTGGGTGGGGCGCTGAAAGCCCACTGTGGCTGCCACTTGCAGAAGCATGCTTGGGAGGGGAGAAGCCATTGCAGCTGGCCAGCAGGGGATGGGCCATTGTGGCCTTGTCACGTGGGCTTTGCAGGGGGCATTGGGAAGCCCCAGAAAACGTTCAGGCAAGGGAGGGACGTGATAAAGTTTGGCTTCATTGGGCGAATACTAGGAGCTGTGAACCAGATGACAGGTAGGTGTGGTGGTCAGGGCCCAGCAGCGGAGAAGACAAGAAGCAGGAGGATGGATGCAGGAGCATCTGAGGAGGAAGAACGATGGGATGGGTGTGTGACTGAAGCTGGTGTAGGGGTGAGGGGGGGCAAATGAAGAGCAGGAGGTCAAGGTGACCCCCAGTTTCTGACTATGCTGTCCTTGAGGTGGGGAAGGCCAGGAAGTAGGAGGTTCTGGGGGTGGGTGGGAGACGGTGCTGTTTTAGGCACAAAGAACCTGAGGTGCTGTGAGACATCCAGATGGAGCTGCCCAGGAGGCAGCTGGGTTTGCGATTCTGTCGCCCATGAGAACCGCGGCTGGGGATGGAGGAGTGGGAGTGATCTGCACAGACGTGGTGATTAAAGCCGTGGAGTGGGGTAGGGCGCCAGGAGGGAGCTCTGATGAACACCTACATTTAGGGAACAGGCACCCAGAGAAGTCGGAGAGGGGACAGAAAATCAGGGCCACAGGGGGCCACGTAAGGCGAGGGAACAGAGAATTTCAGGGTGGAAGTGGCCAGCCACACCAGAGGCTGCGGTGCTTCCTCGAAAGATGACCACGAAAAGGGTCCACAGATTCTCTGTCAACGTGTCTCAGGGACCCTGTCAGGTTTACTGAGGCAGTGGGTGGAGGAGCACCCTGTCCAGGCGTTTGTGCTCTGCTGTCTCTTCATCTGCCCCAACTCAGGGCCCAGGGCCCGCATGGAGCCTGGTGCATGCAGGCTGACTGGCTGGGTACATGAATGGACAGAAGTCCTTTGCCCTGGGTTACAGAGGGGAGACAGCTTTGGCCATGGGCCCATTGCCAACCACCACTGGATCCCCTCACAAACTCTACCCCTTTTCCTTGCTGGCCTGGCTCAGCACTTGGGGTGAGGCTGAGCGAGACAAGAGGAATCTCGGGGCTGTTCCGCCCTCCTCCATGAGGGACACAGGGGCTAGCCTTGCCTCTTAGAGCTCCCTGGAAAACTCTGGGGCCCTTCCCACCTGTATGAGGGATCATCAGCCGGCCCCCGAGGAAGTTGAAAGTCCCGTAGATCATGTTGCTGGTGCCACGAGGCAGGGAGCGGAAGTAGTTTTGGGTGGACAGGCGGGAGACGAAGTCCTCGGCCTCAGAGGTGGGTGAGCTGTGGTGCAGGGTGTGGCGGCCACCACTCAGCGGGCTGAGCAGGTGCCCGTTGGTAAGCTGAAACTTGGGGCTGGGCCCGTCCTGCCGGGGACAGAGGCTACCCTGGTAGGTGGTGGTGGTGGTGCTGAGGTCTGGCTGGATGGTGAGCAGATGGGGATTGTCTGCAGGATAAAGACAGACTCAGGGAGTGGCAATGGGGATGGCCCCGTCCAGCGGCCCCTACACGGGGGCCCTGGGCAGGAGTGCTGGGGGCAGGGGCACCCCACCTGCTTTGCTGGGCTTGATGCTGACGGGCTGGAAGCCTGAGGTGAGGATGGACGAGTCAGCCACATCCGAGTCCAGCCCCTCCTTTTTACGGCAATAAACCAGGATGAGGACGAGCAGCAGCAAGAGGAGGCACACAGCCACAGCGATGAGGCCCACATAGAGGGCTACGTCCTCGGGGCCAGAAGCAGCTGCGGGAGAGAGCATGGCCTTGGGAGGGGCAGAGTGCAGGAGGCCAGGGAGGAGAGGTCAGCGGTCTCCACCCCAGAAGAGTGCAGCCCCCACTCCTTGGGCATCAGCACTAGCGGGGCAGCAGATGCGGGCACAGGGAGCATGTTGTTGGCATGTGTGCTTCCCAGTCCTGCATCTGCCACCACCTTGCTGTCACTCTGCAAATCGCATCCCTCACAGGCTTGATTCAGGCTGTTGCTGGAGAATGAAGGGGAAGAGACACTTCCCCTCGTGGCCTGGGGCCACTAAGCTGAACCCCCTCTTTTGGGGCCCAGAGCAGCTGGGGCTAGGAGATGCTCCTAGGATCCCCTAAACAAGGATCTGCTTCCTGGGTAGATCTGTAAATCTGGTCCCTGGTAGGTTCTTGCCAGGGCTCTTCCCCTTGTCTGCCTCCCAGGCTGGGGCAGGGCCGGGGAGTAGTGATTGAAGGCCTGGAGGAAGCTGTATTGATTTTAGAAGGGCTTTGCATAATGGAAGAAATGTCCATCAGAAAAGAATTGACACAGATAATTAGGTTTTTAATTGAAAGGATGGGGGAGGGTGTGTTCTAGAGAAAAAAATCCAACAGAGATCTTTAATTGTTAGTTATGGCCTTGTAATTAACAGGCCTCTCAAGCCCAGTGTCCCCACAAGACTTGCATGAGCACTTGGGGGACCGGGAGGAGGTGAAGCTGCAGGAGAGGTAGGGAAGGGATTTGGGAGATAAGCCAGGGCCATGTGTGCACAATAAAAGCTCAAATGCATGCATGTCTCAGGGGAGGTGGGGGAGGTATTGGGGTATGGATGTGTTAGGGATGGGGGTGGTCCCTGAGGGTCCTGAGCTTTGGAGAAAGTGTGCAGCCTGTGGCAAGGGACCGACACCCTCAGCCTCTACCTTCCTGGGGCTGGGCAGGGACAATCCTGGCAAACTGGAGAGGACTCCCGGGGCGTAGACTCACTGTGTACACAGAGCTCACTGGTGCAGTTGCGGGTGTCCAGGTCAGCACCCTGGCACTCCTCGCCTCCATTTCGGGGCGCTGGATCAGAGCACTCACGGCTCCGCCAATGGGTGCAGTCGAGCCCACAGGCTGACCACTTGCTCCATGGACTCCAGCTGCCATCCACTAGACGCAAGACAGATAAGCACAGAGAGGAGATGGTGCGGTCAGCCTAGGGAGCCAGCCCAGGCTCCGGGTATAAGGCCAGGGCCAGGGCCAAGCCCGTTGGTCTGCACACCCTCTGGTGTCCAGCTGACCTGAATGACACATGCTAATGACGGGAGGCACGATGATACTGGCCTGCTTGTCTCTACTGCTTGGCCGTCCTGGCCCTGGGGCACTGTGGGCGCTGGGTTGCACGGTGACCCTCCTGCAGACGAGGCTGAGCCCTGCCCCTGCCCCACACTGACTGTACGGTCCTGACTGTCCCTCAGGCCCTAGGATTCAGCTCCTCTGCTGAGGCTGAGCCAGGTGCAGACAAAGCCTGGCCCCGCGTGCGGGCGGGTGGGATGGAGCCATGGGGGCGAGATGGAGCCAGGGCACGGAGATGGCGTGGTGAAGAGCGATGTGGAGGCGGCGGCCGCTGGTACCTGGGCACAGGGTGGCGCAGGCTGTTTTCTGGACATTCTGCCCCTCACAGAAGGCACCCCCGTTGAGAGGCGCCGGGTTGGTGCAGCTCCGGCTCCGTTTCTGCCAGCCGCGCCCACAGGTGGCACTGCAGACGGACCACTCGGTCCACGTCGACCACCCACCGTTCACTGGCCGGACAGAGAAGGACTGGGTCAGGGAGCGGGGGCTTCCTCAGACATGCCGGCCCAGGGGCCAGGGAGGGAGAGACCTGGGGCTCCAGCTGTGTAGGAGGGGAGCCCTGGAGGGGAAGCCACGCTCTGCCCAGTGCCCCTGGAGCTGGGCAGCACCCACTCCACGGCCCGTTCCGCCAGCGGGTGTTTGGGGCAGCCAGCCTAACTGCAGCTTCTGGGACCCTCGGCTCAGACCCCAGCTTTTTACACCTGTGACTCCTGCACCCCCTCCTCTGTCTGCTCCCGGAGGTACCCAGGACCCTGCTTACCACTTGGGGCTGCCTTTCCTAGGCTCCTTCTGTCCCCTCATCTCCCTCTGCCCACAAGTAAGCCAAGGGACCGTCTGACCACAGATGACCCACAACCCATGTCACATCTCCCAGACACGCCCCTCGGCTCCTGACAGCCACAGCCAGCCCCCTGCCCTTCCCAGTCAGGCCATGGCCTGGCCCTTCTGGCCCTGGCTCCCTGGGGAGCCCGCACAGTACAGCCCTGAGGACCCCTCCCCTGCATCTCCCTCCGCCGGCCAGTGCCAGGGCCCACCGTAGACGATGACGGCAGCGGAGGCGCTGCGGCGGCGTGCCACGATGTTCTTGGCCACGCAGGTGTAGTTGGCCGTGTCGGCCAGGCGGGCCTGTCGCACCACCAGGCTGTGCTCCCGCGTGATGTACACATTGGGGTCCAGGGACGGGTCCACTAGGTCCTCGTTCCGGAGCCACTCCACCTGGGAGAGGGAGCCATGTGGCCGCACTGCTCGCCCGCGCTGGCCCTGTCCACACGGGGGTGGCCCCTGGGGGGCCAGCCTGGGGGTCTGAGCAGGCACGACTCAAGCCTGGGGGCTGCTCTCACCTCAGCTGGGGGGACACCCTCCGGCGGGCGGCAGGGCAACACGATGCCTTGCTCCAGGGACACCTCCTTGGCCAGCGGCTCCTGCTCAAAGTTCTTGCGCAAATCTGGGAGAAAACAAGAGTTTCCTCCAGCCTGAGTGCCTCATGTCCCCTGGTCCCGCAGGGGCCAAGGTCCATGGCAGGAAGAAGTGCCAAGTGCCCAGGGGTACTAGGGGTGGCTGGCAGTGTCCATAGGCAGTTTCTTCTCCCATCAAGGCAGGACCTGAGGCTTTCTGACCAGACCGGATCCCCTTCCCCGGTGACACCCTGGGGCCACCCCTGCCAAAGGGCCAGGCCCTGGACTCACAGGCGATGCGGATGTAGGCCTTCTGACTCTTGGTGGTGCCTGAGGAGCTCCAGGCCACGCACTGGCACCAGTACTCCTCTAGCCCGAACACCTTCTCCACCTGCTGCCTTGAGACATTGATGCGGACCTCCATGACGGGCAGGCCTGAGGGCGGGAAGGGTGGGTAGCCAGGGCCCAGGGCCACATGGAGCCTCCCCATCCCATCCTGCTGACGGCAGACACTGGTGCAACCCTCAGCCTGGAGGGAACTCTAGGGGTCCCACGGGAAGCTCAGTTTATATCCCCTGAGGGCAGGGAGTACATTCTTAGCTCTTCATTCCTTATACTTCATTACCCAAGGCCTGTCTTGCTGGAATCACTTACAAAAATGTCCCTAAAAGGACTTCATGTGTTTCAGAGAGCAGGGCACAGAGGAGCTTCTGGCAGCAGGGCTGGCAGCAGGGGCTGGCCTCCCAGGACTTGAGGCCGAAGGGTTGGGGCAGATAGGCCAGCCCTGGGGGCTTCGTGGATAAAAAAAGGGTGAGGAAGTAATCTGGCTCAGCTCCCTGGGGGTTAGCAAGTGGATCCTGACAGTGATAATATAATAGCAGCTATTAACAGCATAATTACAGCCATTACGTAGTGTGATAATAGACCCCTGGGCTTAGCAAGCGGTTCCCACACGCTGGCTTGTTATCTGCCTCCATCCATACCCCTGGACAGCACTGTGCCCACTCTATGGATGAGGAAACAGAGGCTCAGAAGGGCAGGGCTTGCCGCCTTCCATGGCTGTCTGGGTTCAAAGCACATTCAGGGTGCTCTGTAGACACCCTGGGACGGGCTGGGGGTGCCCAGGCCATAAGAGGAAATGTTGGTGGGGGTGAGGGAGGCTGGCTTGTGATAGGTGTTGGGACCTGCTCTGTGCCAGCTGGACTGGGAGGACCCCTCTCAGGAATGGACTGAGCCCCCTGACCTCAGCCAGGGACTCAGGGACAGGGGGCTTGGGGAGGACCCACAAGGGGGGACAGCAGCCCTCCTCCAGCTGCCCAGCCCTCTGCCGAAACCAGCGTCCCAGGAGTTAGAAAAGACTGTTTCCAATTTCTCCTCCTCGTGACCCCAATTTCCCTCGGGTCATTGGCTTATCAGAAGGAGGGAGAGAGGCCGGGGAGCACCGTGTTTCCATTGTTAACAGAGAAATTCAATTAGAGCTGCACTGCAGGAGGACCGGGGCTGAGCAGGGAGGCAGTTTTCTCTCTTAATTTCTCTATCTCGTCTATCCCTGAACCCTGCCCACATCCCTACTCACCGGTCTCTCCGGCTCCCACACCGGGCCCCCAGACTGTTCTGTCACTTGCCCCTGTCTCTGGTGAGTTCTCACAGGAGACTGGGGGTGGGGGTGTCACCTCTGGTTGAGGTCATTATCTGGGGTTCCCTGGGGGTGGGATGAGGGCTGAGAACCGAGGATTCCTCACGGAGTCTGTGCATAGAAGGGACCCTGGGCCCCGCTGCCCGTCAAGCACACCGAGTCTTGGGGCCTCCGAGAAGAAGCCATGCGCACGCCTGGGCGTGGAGACCTCCAGTGCATTCTCAACTGGGAACTTTTTCTCTCCAGGTGGACAGGTCTGTGGATAGGCCACTCCATCCCCCATTGGGGTGGAGGAGCCCCATAACCCGGCCTGGGAGAACAGCACTAAATTTAAGCGTGCCTATTTCTTTCTCCCGGCCTCCTCCCACTTCTGTCCTGCCACCTCATCTCCTTCCTGCTGTCGTGAATGAGGGCCAAGTTTTTCTGCCATGTCCCAGCCCCAGGCAGTGCCCTTGAGCCCCACAAACTCCGGGAGGGCGGCAGACCCACGGGGAGACCCAGACCCTGCTCTGCCCAGTCCTTGAGGTGAGGGGCTGTGTCCTCCTTTCTGCAGGTCACTGCACAGCTCGGGTCTAGGGAGCAGTTTCGAGGCACGGCTGTGTCTGCACCTGCCTGGTAAATGTGAACAGATGCCAGCCTTGGGGAGGAAAGGGAGGGGCCCCTGTCGGCCCAGGAGCATGTGGGGTGTGAGCAGACGTGTGAGTGCCATGGGCACATGGGGAGGCCTAGGGGGAAGGTGCTGAGTATTTCTGGGAAGTAGAGGATTGGTGGGGTAGAGGTGAAGGCTCGGAGGCCAAGCTGGGGCTTGGGTCCTCACCTTCTCACCAATCTGAGTCTAATAAGCAGTTTGTGTAACACAATAAATTATACTCCTAGACTGGATTCTGATGCTTGGCTTTGCAAAGTTCAGGCTTTTATAGCATCAGCAAGTTTGGGTTGAGGGTTTTTGGGCTTTGGTCCCTAACCCCTGGCCTTCTGGATGGGGTGTAGGGGCAAGTGAGGGGGTCGCGGGGCTCCTGCGCTGTCCACCCAGCCACCCCCAGCCTCCGATCACCACCATACTTGCCTAACGACAGAATGTTTCTGGGTCAGGGTCTTTGGTTCGTGTGTCTGTGTGGTGCTACCGCTGTGACATGTTTGGGGGTAAGTAAGGGAAGCCTATCTCTGTACCTCAAAGCACTCGATGGCTTTGGGTTGAAAAATCAACAAATCAATGAAAATTCAGATGTGCTGGCCAGGAGGGCTGAGGTTGGATGCTCAGGGAAAGCGAAGACCCCGCCGATACAGGTGGGACAGGTCCC